GAAATATCATTGACCCCGTTGGATAAATGATCTATCAGAAATTAATGGGTTTCTTTTACTTTAAAGTTTCTCCGATTAATTTTAAGATTTTAAAAGAATCATCAGCGGATTTACTTAAAGTAATATTAAAGGTAAAAAAAAAATATTTAATTCGATTCGCATATCTATTCTCCTTTATTTACCTTTGCTATTAATTGTTTAATTCGAGTAGATTCATATAAAAATACAAACGGATAAATTTGTGATTGGAACACGAGAACGATTAGCTTGCCATGAACATTGGAAAGATTTAGCTAATAATTTATCTGAACGTTTACGTAATGTCACGGAAAAAAACGTATTTATCAAATTTTTTATCAAAATACTTTGCACGTTTTTTAAGAGAATGATTCATACTTTTAAAATTTGAAAAATTTTCATAGAATCAATTGGAGCGAGAAATATCTGGATTTTATAAAGGAAAATACTTGTTTGAAACATTTGATAATTTATCAATAGAACAACTTTCTTCAATAAGATCTCAGAAACTAGAGAGTGCCCGTTCAGCATGGAATTTATGCTTATATTGGATTAGGGATAACCAAAAATTTACTGGTATAGTGTTATTTTGTTTTGCAAAACCGCAAATTAAAATATTTAACTAACTATAAATAAATAAATAAATAAATAGGTTGCGTTGAGAACATCATACATGATCGTGCAAATAATCATAAATTAGATGGACAAGAATTATTATTGGAAGTTCCCGAAATTATGATAACTATGTGGGAAAAAGCTTTTCAAAAAGTGTGTGACTATATTTATTTTATTCTGGATCTTTATGATTGTTTAATTCCTATCATTTACTTTGTAAACTTTATTAGGAACAAATCAATCCTTTTCAGGGAGGAAAAAAAGATCTTAGATCTTTATTAAAATTATGGAAATTTTCTCTACAAACTTTAAGTAATCAATTTTTTAAACCATCAGCGATTAAAAATCAAGAGTTAAGTGCCAATAAATATGATAAGTTCAGAAATGGGAATCTATCTTGTACTTTAAATAAACTTGAAGAATATCTGCCAGAACAACAGGAACAGATTAGAAGTCTTTATTCACTTAAAAATTTATTGCGTACTCGTTTAAGTGGAATAAATGAATCGATTAAGTCATTACATGAAGATGAGGATCTTGGTAAATTTTTTAACTTATTCACTTTATAATTGTTTCATGTATGATAATTTAAAAAACTAATAAGTTTTGACATTTGCAGCCGCAAAAAAATACTTGTAGGTAATGAACTATAAAATTAATTGTCCGAAGCGTAGCAAATGACCTTTTAATACTAGACATTTTAAATGCAATGTCGTTCTGTCTGCCGCGTGATCAACGAATAAAAATTTGTTTACATAAATCGCTTCGGATAAGAGCGCGTAAAGTAATTTTAAAGCGATAAATGCACGTCATGCTTAATGTGGCGTCTTTTAATTTAAATTTGCCAAATTTGTTGCATATGAAATTGATTTTTACTTTTTATTTTCTATTGTAAAAGTCTTATATAATTAATTAATTTAAGTTAGAAAAATAATAATATTGAAAAAAAAAAAAAATTTGCAATACTTTTACTACTATAAATTATTAATATATAAAGCTAATTAACATTTAAGCAAATTAGTTTAAACAATAATTTTTTAAAAATTATTTTTTAATTTTAAAATTAAATTTGATGATTTTATCCGGTATCCCGTGATTTTTTATAATTAATGATTACTATAATAAATCGGTTATCAGGCAAAAAATCATTTATCAGGCAAAAAATCGTTTATCAGGCAAAAAATCATTAAAAGACATTAATAATTTTTATTAAGCATTATTTGTATTAATAAAATTACATTTAAAACTAATTAATTATATATAGTACAATT